AGAGTATTCTAAGGTAGTCATTGCTTATGAAATTATGCGAGCTCTAATTCATAGCAGACTCTAACCAGTTAAAGATACATGCTGCAATCTCTAGAATAACCACTTAGAGAATAAAATAAAAGTATGACTAACAAAAGGTATAGCTATACTAATATCAGGCAAAGTTTACAGTAAAGCAGGAATATTCTTAGAGATAAAAAGAGGCATTTCTTAATGTTAAAAGAGATAATCAACCAGGAAGATATAGAAATTCTAAAATTATACACTGACAGTCCTGATTTTATACATGCACAAGTTCCCATATGCACAAATATCAATTATCACAATTTAGTTATATAACACCAGAGTCCCAATGATAGGATTTAAATTACAATTAGCACAATATATTAATTGTAAGTACAGGAAGTACAAACTTCACTAATAGTCTTTCAATCCACAAATCACAATGATCAGTGACCAATCACTTCTTTCAAAGTCTGTCACTGATTGGTCACTGTGTATCTGTTATCCAGTTAATGCAGAGACAGAAAAGTGTGTAGTTGTGTTGCCTCCTTGTTTCTCAGTGATAAACCTACAAGACATTTTACAAAAATGGGTAATTGAAAGGGGGAATTGGCCAATAAGGATGAACGTGTAGGAAAAAAAGTGATAATGCTGGAGGAGAAATGTGAACTAAAGGTAAGCAGAGTTATAGAAGAAAAAGCTGATGGGTGGGAATGTCAATTCTGCTGCCAATTGGAGGGACTCTAGAGATGCAGCCAGAGGGACTTAGTGAAAGTAAAATTATCAACATAAATGAGAAAAGTGGTTGTGACAAATAGGATGAAGATGTCCCAGAGGAAGTGATGCCAAGAAAAAATTCACATTAAAAGAACTCTCAGAGATATTTCATAACATTGAAAGTGCAAAGGATAAAATGTTGGAAGTTGATCCAAACTTAGAATGGAATATGACAATTCACAAAGGCATAAAAAAACTGCTAGCTTTGTAATGTAAGTCATATGATGAAAAAGTCAAGTGCTGTTCAAACTACTGTTGGTAACATTTTTACAATGAAAGGAAACACTTTAATTCTCTATGTTTTTAAATGTTTTATATTATAATGAACTAAATAAATACCAGTTCTACTATTTAAAAATTTGTCCTTCACATGAGTTTAACATTGTGGCAAAAACTTTGAGTTCATGTAACAAATTACAATTTTTCCTCATTGATTATTAAGTTTGCTTTGCATAAATTTAGTTTGCATGATCATTTTGAGGTTCCACACTACCACACAAAGTGAGAATTGTGTGTATATTTAATAAGATAGCCTCAAAATGTATAAATCAAAAACTGATAAAAAATAAAGGAGAAATAGACAAACCCAAGATTATAGTGGGAGTTTCTAAAACATATCACTCATTAACTGATAGAAACAGTACACAGAATATCAAGAAAATATATCTATATATACAAAATATATATGATATAGAAACTTTCAACATGATGATGGGTGAATTTGATTTATCTTAAATATATAGAATGCTCTATCCAATAATTTCAGAGTACATATCCCTTTCAAAGTACAGGTAATATTTACCAGTATTGACCATACACTGGTCCATAATTCAAGGCTCAACAAATTACAAAGGATTGGAACCATACAAGATATACTCTTTGACCACAGCAACTTCACCCTAACCCTAACCCTAACCCTAACCCTGAGAATCAAAAACAAAAAGGTAACCAGAAAATCCACAAATGTTTAGAAGTTAAACAGCACACTTGTATATAATGCAGTGGTCAAAAAAAAAAAAAAAAAGAAAGAAATCAAATGAAAATTGCAAAAATATGTTTGAACCAAGTGATAACAGAAATAAGATAATGCAAAACTTTTAGGATGTCACCAAAGCCATGCTTATATATGGAAATATTTAAGGAAATATATGGCCTTAATACACATATTAAAAAAGAAAAGAAGCCAAAAAATAATTATCTAAGCATCATCTCAAGTTATTAGAAAAAGAAGAGCAAGTTAAATACAAACATAAAAGAAAGTAAATAATGAAAATAAGAGCACATGAGTATGTTCTTTTTTTAATTATTTCCTTCCTTTTAGGTTTATACGTATACATTCCTTTTATCTATATGTACATACAGATATATGGATATGCACATAGACTATACATATTTTCTTTGGCTCGTTCTATAAAAAGATTAATAAAACTAATAAACCTTTAGCAAGACTGACCAAAAATAAATAGAGAAGCCAAAATGTAACAATATCATGAGTGAAAAAATTTCTAGAGGTGGAAACATTACAAAGAAAATAAGAGAACATTATAGAAAACTTAATGCCAATAAATTCAAATTTTTAGGAAAAAAATGCACAAATTACTTGAAAAACCCAACTTACCAAAATTGACCTAAGAAGAAATAGAAAACCCAAATTCTTCTACATTTGTTTTAAAATTTTAACTCATAATTTAAATTTTTTCTCAAAGAAAACACAGGATCATATAGCTTTACTGATGAATACCTCCAGAATTAGCACCAACTTTACATAACATATCCCATAACTAGCGGGGAAAAAAACTTTTTAGAAGTCAATCATAAAACTTGATAAAACAGTAAAATAAAATTTAAAAATAGGAGTCAAGCTCTAATGAACAAAGATGAAAAAACACTTAAAATATTCACAAACAGAATCCAAAATTATTGACAAAGGATTATACATTTTATATATGTATATATATAAAACAACTCCAAGTTGTTATTTTTTTTTCCAGGTATGTAAGCTTAGTTTAACATTTAGAAGTTTATCAAAGTAAGTCAAGACTTTGGCAGAACAGAAGACAACCTAATATGATCAACTCAACAGATGCAGAAAAAAGCATTTGATAAAATTCAACTCCCTTCTCTCAGAAAACTATAAAATATTAAGAGAAATTAAGGAAGACAAGTAATTGAAGGAATATATTAGAAGACTCAATATTTTGTCTTTTTTTTTATTATGTTATGTTAATCACCACACATTACATCATTAGTTTTTGATGTAGAGAAGACTCAATATTTTAAAGAAAAACTCTCCCCAAATTGACTTAAAGTTTCAATGATATCCCAATCAAAATTACATCAGGGTTTTTTTTTTTCCATATGTGGAAATGGAAGCTGGTTCCAAAGTTAATATAAAAATTCAAAGGACCAAGAACAGCTAATGTAATCTGGAAAAAAAAGGAACAAAGTTTTAGGGCTTAAATTATCCAATTTTAAGATTCACCAAAAATGTGCCATAATTTAGAGTATAATATTAAAGCAAGAATATAAAGACCAGTAAAACAAAATATAGAATCAATAAATGAACCAAATACATATTGCTAGTTGACTTATGACAAAGGTGCACAGCGCAACACAGTGGGAAAAAGAAATTTTTAGTTTGAATAAGAGTGGTTCTAGATGTATTGCATATCCATAGGGGAAAAATTCTTGATCTTTACCTCACACAATATATAAAAATTCCAGATGGTTTGTAGACCTATATATGGAAGGTAAAATAATAACATGTCTAAAAGATAATACAAGAGGGCATCTGGGTGGCTCAGTTGGTTAAGCAACTGACTTCAGCTCAGGTCATGATCCTGGAGTCCGGGGATCAAGTCCCACATTGGGAGATTGCTTCTCCCTCTGACCCTCCTCCCTTTCATGCTCTCTCTCTCTCTCAAATAAATAAAATCTTTTTAAAAAAAGATAATACAAGAAAGTATCTTTGTGACAGGCAAAGATTTCTTAATACCATACTTAATACCATAATGAAAAGCACTTAACCATAAAGGGAAAGAAAGATAAACTGGACTTTTGTAAAATTTAGACATTCTATTTGTCTAAAGATACCACAAAAGTAAGAAAAAGTAAGCCACAATATTGGAACATACTAAATAACATATAACCAAAAAAGGATTACATTCAGAAACTTGTAAAGAAATCACATAAATGAAGAAGAAAATGACAGATAACCCAAACAAAATTGGGCAAAAGATTTGAATATGTCCTCCAGGAAAAAAAAGAAAAGAAAAGAAAAAGGATATACAAATGGCAGTATACATTTAAAAAACTCATTAGTTGACATGTAAAAGCAATGGACACCACTGAGGGGACACTTTTATATGCCCAACAGCATGACTAAAATTAAGACTTGACATACCAAGTATTGGTGAAAATGTGAAGCATCTGGAATACTCATAAGCCCCTGGTGGGAGTTTAAATTAGTACAACCACTGTGGAAGCTTATTTGGAATTATCTAGTAAAGCTTGTCATCTGCATACCAATGATCTAGCAGTTCCAAATACACCCAACTGTTTATATACATTCACCAAAAGAAATGTATAGAAATGTTTATAGCAGAATTATGCATAATACCGTAGAGAAAAACTAGAAATAACCTCAAAGTCCATCCATATGGATAAATAAATTGTGGTGTATTCATACACTGGAATGGTACACAGCCATAGAAATGAACTCTACTGCTAAATGCCACGGCATTCTTACAAACAGAATGCTGAGTAAGAAGGAATGACACACAAAATTACACACTCAAGTGTTTCACACAAAGTTCAAACACAGGCAATCTCTGATGATATAACTTAAAAGAGTAGATGCCTCTGTGGTATCATGACCGAGAAGGGCAAGGATAATGCTTTATGGGGTGATCACTACTCTGTTTCTTGATCTGTGTGATGGGTGAAGAGGATGTTCACTCTGTAAAAATGTATGGATCTGTGCATTTCTGATGTTTGCATTTTTCTGTGTATATGTTACACTTTGATAAATGGATTTACTTACAAAGAAAGAAGTCCAAAATTCAAAAAGAGGTGAAAATAAATTCAAAATATTAAAGATGTTGAGAAAAACAAAAGGAAATTTCCTGACAAGCCATTGCAACGTATCATTTTACACACACACACACACACACACACACACACACACTATCCATTCACAAAAAACCATTTGGGTCACTTACTTTTAGCCACACCTCATCCTCTCTCTCCAGGCTACCTTCTGTCTGCTCACTTCTTTTATCCTGAGGTCTATTTCCATTGGTGACACAGGGAAACCAGCCAGTAAGGGGATAGTGCTCTGGTGAATCTGGATGGTATGATGTGCAAATCTGAAATGCAATTTCAACCAAAAAGTAAAGGTGGAGGGTGAAAGATAAGTAAAGACAATGAAACTCTGTAGCTCAAAACCAAAATTTTCCTCTCTTTGTGAGTACTTAATGATTACTGGCAGAAAACTTTTCTTAGTGTAGAAGAATGCTCTCTGCTAGCCTCAGGATATAACTTTTCTGGGTAGAAAAACACACATGATAACCCTCAGCCCACCATAAACCCAGAGAACTTGCCCTATGAACAGTCCTGGCTCATTTCAGGCAACTGCTCCTAGAATCAGCCACAGACGTCTGTCCAAGATGATGGTTATATCCTTACCAGGCAGGATCCACCAGTCCCGGCAGTGAGGCTACTGAGTTAGGGAGCCACTGAGCATTCAGCTGGGTTTAGAAGCCAGGGAACAGAAACTCCAGAAAATTTCTCCTAGTTAAGGAAGTTAGTTAAGGAAGACAGACAAGCTAGACGACAAGCAACTTCAGAGAGCTGTTACTAACTCAGAATCTTCCAACTTCCCTGGCTTCCTGTCCTTGGGCACCAAGAACTCTTGAGAAAGATGACAGATTTCACTGTAGAAGTGTGGCAGACACGGCTACTTGCCTCCCCCATATCCATTTCCCCTTACTTTCAAACTCTGATTTTGTTCAAGAGGGCAGTGAATCCAGTTAAAAATGCTCATCTCCTCAGACGCCTTTACAACTGAGGGTGATGAAGTGACCTGGGTATGACCAATAAAATGTTGATGGAAATCTGTAGTATTAAACTTCCAAAAAAGCTGCCATGATTTTCCCAATAAAAAGGGAAAGACTCAGTTAGCATATACCTATTTCCCTGTGAACTTCCCCCATCTTCCTGCCTGGAATGCTGACGTCATGCCTGGAGGAGTCATCTTATGAGGAGGAGGAAGGAAGCTGCAAGCCAAGGATAGAAAGAGCTAGAATCTAGAAGATGCCTGGGTCCTTGAGGAGTTTCTTGAACTAGAGCACCAGCTCTGGCTGGTTCCTCAATTTCCTGGGGGTGTCTGCTTAAGTATAAAATCCAGTGATTTCATCCTGGCCTAAAATACCTAGAGAGCTTAATCTCACTTCTGTTGAAAGAACGGTATTGCTTATTGTTATGATGAATGGAAGAGTTTAGTTGGCAATGGATGCATCTAGAATAGTACCCAAAAGCCAAAGCCCTTAATCTTCTTTTCAGTATTGAACTATAATTCACAGAAGTCAGTCCTTAAAGTCCTCAGAGGATCTCCTATTTATTTAGGTGGAGATTCATAGAAAATTGTATACCTAAGGATTTGTTTTTAGTACTAACTGTAGAATTTCTTCAAGAATAACAATTCTTTAAATTGAGTTATACTTTGATCTTTAATATATTTAAATTCCATTTGATCCTTGTAATAAACATATTGAGTTAAATCCAAAAGTTATTACTATGACCCATTTTATATATGAGAACATTGGGGCCCGGAGAGGTTAAGTGACCTGTCAAACCTCGCTTAGTAATAATAATAGTAATACTGGTGAATTCAGTATTGTAATCCAGGCATTCTGACTCTTTACTACTTCTTTTTCTTCTTTTTAAAATAAATCCTCCCATACACAAAGATCAAGTGTAATTTCTGGTATTTATATATTTGAGATTAATTTTGAGATGCTCTGTATCCCTTAGAGTTAGTTACTGCACAGCCAAAGGCTCCTGGATGAAACCTAGTGCGGGTAAGTAGGGTATGGGGGCGGGGGGGTGGGGGCGCGGAGAGGAGACTTAATTGCCAGCCTAGCAGTGTCCCATTTAACGTTACCTTATTCTGAGTTCAGTAGGGACTAAATTTGATATCAAAGACAGGAGAGAATGTAAGCCCCCATAAAGCATCTGAGAGAGAGCAATTCTGCTCAGCCTTAACTCAATTCTTCTGGCTTGATTTACCATTGAATGAGGTTCTCCAGTTACCAAGGAAGCAGGACACTTCTTGTCTTCATGAGAGGAGTAAGCTTGGGTGGCCCATTGATCCAGGTATCCTTTGGGAGTATAGAGGCCACAGTCTATGATGCTGGTTTCCTTCTCAAAAGGTTCACATATCCCATCTCCCTCATATATGTAACATAGGCTTGGCTCCCCTGCCAAAAAATATTGTATGTTTAAAAAAGTGTTGTTATATATGTCATGCAAAAATCATTATATTTTTTCTCTAATCCATGAAAGAGAATCCTGCTACTGTCAGCAGGTCTAATGCTCACCCCAAACATGCAGACAACACACACACACACACACGCACGCACGCGCATACACATGTGCAAGGAAAAAGGATCCTTTTTCATGGGGAGAGGAGTAGACTCCATCTGTATAATAAAACGTATAGAAAGTGGTGGGATTTGTGAACAAAGAATAGGGAGAAAAAAGTAAGCTGGAGGTAGAAAGAAATGTTAAGGCATCATTGAACAAGAACCTGAGGGAAGAAGGAGCTAAAAGAGCAGTAGATAAAAGAAGAAAGAGAAGTTAAAGAAATGGTATGATGTGTTATGCACTTGGATCCCCTTCATGGTTTTTGAAATATTAAAGTAGTTGAGGAATTTGTTTTCAATTACTCTTTGTGGAGGAATTCTTTCTTCAACTAAGTATGCCACAGCTCGGACACGGACAATATGGGCACTGGGTTTTCAAGGCTTACATAGGTCTTTCCTTTAGACTTACAACAACCATGTGGGGTGGGCAATTTTTGTTTGTATCATACATGGGAAACATTTTGCCAAAGGTCCCTTGATACACGAGCAATAGAGCTTGTATTTGAGCCAGGTCCACAGAAGGCAGGTTCATGGGGGTTTCCATCAAGCTGAGGCAGAGGCACTGTCTTCAAGAGCAAACAGGTGAGGAGTGAGGCTGTACGCAAACCTGTTGGACTACTGTGCAGCGAGCTTGTATTCCCTGGACAAGTCCCACCTTGCTCCCAGGATAACTCCGCCTAAGTGAACAGTACCAACTACAGTACATAACTAGCTTTCTTCAAGTGTGGAAATCTAAGGTGCAATCAGAAAGCCACTTATTAAGTTCTACTGATTTTTCTACCAAAATGTAGGACAATGAACATTAGTAGCATGATTCTAATCTCCTATTTCCACTTAAAATAATAGGACGTGAAAATAATATCAAGATTTGAAAATCAATCAACATATAGGTACACATTCAGTACCATCATTACTAAAATTTACTGTTACTATACCATTCTTGTTATTTTTCATTCTTCACAATACCACAGGGATATTGAAATGATTTTTCAGTGGCTTATCAACATGTAGCTACTAATTATTTTCCTTCATAATTTCTTCCAGTCTAAGACCCTTCTGTGGTAAATCTGTCTCTACTTGCCAGGAATAAGCCAATGTTCTTGGACTTGGTTCTAAGCCTATTTGGGGTTTTAAACTCCTGCATTCCATCAAACCCATGGTCTTCCCAAATCACTCCCCCAAAACCAATATATATGCACATATATGTATATACACATGTACATGTGTTCATGTACATAATCATGTGTGTTTATATGTATGTTTGCATGTATTTTTATGTGTATATATTTTACAATATATTTTATAATGTGTATATATTTTACAATATATTTTATAATGTGTATATATATGTTTTGTTTCTCTATTTATAACACAGTGAATGCTTCTTCTATTTTTTTTTACCATGGACTTAAAATTTTTGCCTGTTTTTTCAAGCCCATCTAAAAATAACAGACCACTTTTAAAACACATTTCACAATAGTTCCTTCAAACCTAATCTTTTTTTAAAAAAAGATTTATTTATTTACTTTAGAGAGAGAGCATGCATGAGGGGAGGGGTATGGGGAGAGGGAGGGAAAGAGAGAGAGAAGAAGACTCCCCGTTGAGTGTGGAGCTCATGTGGGGCTTGATCTCACAACCCTGAGATCTGACCTGAGCCAAAGTCAAGAGTTGGACGCTTAACCAACTGAGCCACCCAGGCACCCCTCTAACCTAATCTTTTAAGAAATAATGGAATATATGCTTAGCATACTATGAGCTTATTATACAATGAAACAGAAGTCTAACTGTGGAATAGATCCTTTTAGCCTTACCCTGTAAAGTTAAAATAATTTAGACATAGTCTTACTGGATTTGGAGGCTAAGGAAATAAGAGCCAAATGTAATGGAATCAAATGTGTTAGAAACAAAGCAAGGTGGGCTCTTAAGTTAAATGAGGCTTGGGCTGTACTAGAGAAGACACAGCATTTGGAGAATATATGTGTGTGTGTGTGTATATGTGTGTGTATTCAACATAAGCCCATTATGTTACCAAAAAAACCCCAAAAAACAAAAAAAAAACCACAGTGCAAACAGAGGTGGCATTAACAAATACTTGTGTACAGAAGAGGGGAGGTAATCGGTTCAGTGTATTCTGCATAGCCAGACCACATCTGGAGTATTGAATTCCTTTCTGGGCACTGACCACACAAAACATGCCAGGTTAGGGTAAATAAGAATGGGTCTGGAAACCTAATCACATGAGGGGATGTTTGGATTGGAAAGGAGAATAATGGGGAGGCATTTCAAATATCTGCATGGTAGTCAAATAAAACAGGGGGAAGAAATTATCCTCTGTAGTTTCACAGCAAGGAAAAAGCACTTGATTAAGCATTAGGAAGCTGAGCTCCAGTGCTGGCCTGCAAAGCTTTGCTGTATGCCTGTGGATGAGTCACTACAATGCTCTGAGCCTCAGTTTCCAAACCAGAAAAAGGGAGAAGAATTTTATAACAGATAAAGCCATTCCTAAGTAGAATGGTGCATTTCAAGGTGTGTCCTTCACTGCTCGTAGTATGTAAGCAGGAGCTAGAGGCCCCTCTCTCAAGAACTGGCAGAAGAGATTTCTATATGGGAAGGATGCTGGACTCCAAATCGCTGTTAGACTATATACAGGAAGGAATCAGGGTATCTATCAGACTCATGGTACATGGCAGATACTGAATATGGTTTATTAGATGGATGGATGGAAGACTACTAAGATTCTATAATTTTATGATCCTGCTCTAGATAGCAGAGTCATTTGTGTGTTCTATCCAGTATTTAACACCTTAATAAATTATACATAATTATAATCATATCCTCCTTTACCTTGAGATTTAGAGGCATTAAAATATTTTTCAATGCACTGCTCTTTAAAATAACTTTGGTGAATGGTTATGTTCCATTAAAACACGGCAATGTATGCAGATGGTAATTTAAAAAAATAATCTACGTGTTAGAAGCCCACTGATGATGTCTTTAACCAGAATTGGGAGAAGTGTTCTGGAGAGCCTTCCTGTGTGGCAAGAACCTAGAGTCAAAGCCACCTAGTGATAATTTATTACTAGTGATTTTCCAGGATTAAGCAGTGTTAGGACCCCCTGTCATCTGTCATGATCTTATCTATTAAGCACAACCACCAAGAGGTACCTTGTACTCCCTTTGGCTTAGAATGTTTCCTACGCTGATTTTGATGTAGAACCTCTATGATTGTACTGCTTGGCTGATGCTTTGATGTTAGACATGAGGACCCAAGAGCAACTGGTAACATTAATCAAGGAGGCGATGTAACCCAGTGGTTTCACATGTAGATCCTAGAGCCTCACTTCCTTGGTTCAAATCCCATATAAGAGAAAGCAAGTTATTTGAACCCTCTGTGCCTCAGTTTAGTCTCTTCATACTTAATGTAGGGACTAAATGAAATGCTATATGTGAAACAGCTAATGCCTGGCACACAACAGACACATCAAATATCATTGTTATTAGCATCTCACTATATGTTACAGGATATTAAAAGCTCAGGGAAATAAGACACAGAGACACCTGCAGAAATAGGACATAAGCCTAGGGGGCGCTCCTCAACCCACCTGCACAGTGGAAGCCTTCCTCCAGCTGGCACGCCCTTGAGCAGCCATCTCCGCTCAGAAGGTCCCCATCATCACACTCTTCTCCCAGGCTCCTGGAAAGTAAAAATATACATTCTTATATACATACATATATAAAATAGTTTTTCTTGTTTAGTTACCATTATTTTAAATTCTTAAAATTCCCAATTACATATTAAGAAGTACGAGTTGGAGAAAAGCAGGAGTTAAAAAAAATGCTTTTACAGGGCGCCTGGGTGGCTCAGTTGGTTGAGCGACTGCCTTCGGCTCAGGTCATGATCCTGGGGTCCCAGGATCGAGTCCCGCATCGGGCTCCCTGCTCGGCAGGGAGCCTGCTTCTCCCTCTGACCCTCCCCCCTCTCATGTGCTCTCTCTCATTCTCTCTGTCTCAAATAAATAAATAAAATCTTTAAAAAAAAAAAAATGCTTTTACAGAAAAAGTAGCTCGTGGCTCAGAAACATCTAGGAGACCCACGAGGGCCCTGCCAGTGTTTCCGGTGGACGGCATTAAGGTAGAAAATGCATACCAGCCCTATGATAAGTGAAATCTTAGAAATAGCTGGTTTGGTGAGGAGGAAACCTGCCTGCCTATGTGTGGTTCTGTTTTCTATTCGTTTTTACCTGATATTTCTTCATGTTTTCATTGTTTTATTCTATCTAGATGCAGTTGTTAAAGTTAGGATTTTGTAGAACTGAAAGTTCCTGTTTTATATACCAAGAGACTCAGTAGTCTGATTGCTTGCTGCCAGGTCTCAGTCCAGGGCAAAGCTAAGGCTCGGTCCTGGTCCTCACTCCCTACTACCACCTGGTGGCAGCTATCATATATTGCAGGGGAGAAATGAATACTGGGAAAAGAAAAATGTCATTGTTTTGTTTTGAACCTCAAATGCTGACAACAGCTGATGACTAATTTGGATTTGGGTGGGAGAGTTAGTTTAGACTAAGAGCTACAAGAAGCATGTTATGAGAACAAAACAGATAACACAGATGCGGCCATTATAATGGATTGAGGGTTGGAGCACCCGGGTGGCTCAGTTGGTTGAGCATCTGCCTCTTGATTTCAGCTCAGGTCCTGATCTTGGGGTCCTGGAATCTAGCCCTGAGCCGGGCTTTGTGCTCAGCGGGGAGTCTGCTGGAGATTCTCTCCCTCTCCCTTTCCCTCTGCCCCTCCACTCACTCACTCTCTCTCTCTCAAATAAATAAATAAATCTTTTTTAAAAATGGACTGAGGGTTACCATTTTTTTCTTCTTGACTTTGCACCACATCCAAAACAGACATATATTTTAACTCAAGTAGATAAAGGGTGTTGGCATGCTAATGTGTTTTCAGACCCAGGGCATGACTAACCTTTGTTTAAAGTATACCTCCTCATGGGGACAGAGTAAAGATTAAGTAATTAGATATGAGAAAGCTTTAAAATGAATTAAAAGCATGCTATAAATGCAATTATATAATGATATTTTAAATGGTAGGATGGAAATGGAGAAAAGATAACAGAGCTGTGAAAAACATGACTGAAGAAATTAAGGAAACTTCAAATTCCTTTATTTTGAAGATGATCTCAACAGCTAATATAAGCATGTTGTATATCATCTCATGTACTGCTGCCCAGCAGAAACAGGAGTAGTCACATTTAAAAAAAGAAACAGGTAAAATTAGTTTTAATACCACATTTCATCTAACCCAATATATCCAAAATATTGTCATTCAGTAAGTAATCAGTACAAAAATTATTAATGAAGCAATTACATTCTTCCTTATGCATCCTACGTCTTTGAAATCTGATGTGTCTTTCTCATTTACAACACATCTGAGTTCAAACACTTGATCTGTATTTAGATTCACCGACCCAAGTTGTTCCAAATATACTTAAAGGTTTTCTGACAACTGGATCAAGTTTTTAAGTTAAATTTAAATTACCTAAAATTAAATAAAGTTCAGCTCTTAGCCGCACTCGCCACATTGCAAAGGCTCGACAGCACACGTGGCTGAGATGTCCCACATGGGACAGATGGAGATGATCACTTCCAAACGAATGCAGCTCACAAGTTCAAGGCCTCTGCTGTTTGTTCGGTAGTCTTATTGCTGTGTTATCCAGTGTGACAAAAAAATGTATTAAAACTAGAGTCTCAGGATGACTTCTTGGGGATCTGTGATTCCCTTGGATTGAATCTAAACATTTCTCAAGTTTAAAACAGTGGGTTAAACAATTCATGTCTCTCCTTCTTGTTGTGTGTGTGGTGGAGGGCCTCCAGCTGAGACAAAGCTACAATCACAGATACCTTCCCCCTGGAAGGCAGAACTAAGTATGACTCTCTACAGAGAGGGAAGACCGGGAGAAGTGTAAAGGAGCGTTTGGATGAGGAATCTTGTGAGGCCTAGCAGCCAAGCAGCTGCTGCTTCAGGTGAAGCTGTTTCAAGACCCAGGAGACAATGTGTAAGAGCAAGTTAGGAAGATGGCTCTTCCACCCTTCCTGCCCAGACCCCAGCCAGATGTGGCATCCTGGGGCCTTGAGGTGGCCTCTATCAGAGAATTGCTGGAGGAGATGCTACAACATAGGGCAGAGTCCTTTGCTCAAGGAGGGCTCTGGCTGGGTAGTAATGGTAACCAAGCCACCCCAAACACTGTAAGAAAGAGGTTGTCAAAGCAGGGACAGGAACAACAGCATGTGCACATATGAAGCATCCCCAACTGAGATGGAGGAAGGGGACTAGAAAGCTGGGACTGGGTGAGGCAGAAGGTGGCAGCCAACTAGCAAGGTCTGGGTGTTAGCAAGGTTTGGCTTACACCAAAGGTTAAAAATCTTAGATCAAGAGAAGAAGCAATGTTTATTGATTGCTAAATGATGGGAGGGGATCCCAAGAAAGGCTACAGAATTCTTTCTATTAGGGCCTTGGGATACTACGTATTTTCACCTAGTCTGGGAAATTAATAATAGGCCATCTTATTAGGATGCAGAATCAAAGACAAATCACAGTGCATGGCCATCCAGCCTCCTACTCCCCCAGCTCTATATAACTAACAAATTAGGTTTGATGAGCATTCAGGACAGGTGAATATAGGGTGACTGGTGGGACATGGGAGTCTTCAGTGTTAGATTTGAGAAAGTCCCAGATAAACCAGAGTGAATTAGTTGCCTAGGCTGATATCACAAAAGGCAACAGAAAAAGGAACATAGTATGTTCAGAAGCCAAAGTAGTGATTTCCTCTTTACCTTGGTGGTTTTATAGAATGGATGTAAATTACATTGTAGTCAGGTCTTCCAGAGGCCAAATGAGCCAGTGAAGCTCAGAAAGCTATACTGACTTTCCTCAGGTCACACAGCTCCTTGGTAGCATAAGACAAGCCACTGATCCAAAAGATACCCTCATGTTGTCTTTTAGCATCATCTCACAAGTAACCTTCTCCCCTATAAACTCCTTCTCTGTATCACTGCCCAGTAGTTGTCCTCTGAAACCTTAAGAGCTGCCCCCCACCCCCAAATCAGCCCCAATATCTCAGTGGGTGAGCTCTAAATAAAAGTGAGCTTCTCCTTAACTAAGATGTAGGTGACCTTTCAAGATCACTACCAGGTCCTAGATCTTGCTTAATGCTAGATTCACACAGCCCCCAAGTTCCAGAACAAGTCAAACTAAAACTCAAGATTAACCCTCCTGGTCTGAGCCGGGCAGGACATTCTCGCTCACACATTCTCACACACCCCGATACTCACCCCGCCACCTTCCCATCTCCACAGTAAGGAGCTCCATGGATATGGCTCAGCGGAGGTGAAGCTTCTCCCAGATCTGTCCCAGCTCCAGCTTGAACTTGGTATCGATACATCTGCCCCGGTGTGACCTCCCTGTGGAAACCAATGAGCCATGACCACTACATTCAGAAAGTGAGACATTGCCCTGGGTCCTTCACAGATGGCTTACAGGAATTTAAAAGATATTTATGGGGAATGTTAAACATATGCCATGTTATGTGAAACGGAGATCAGGGCACAGAGTTTTACACAGCAGCAGAATGTTTGAAAGCATACCGGTTTCGGTATTCCCGGTATGTTCCCCATAGTGATCGTGCAATAAATACTGGCTGAAATACCACTGAATTAACTAACGGTCCTGCACAGTCTAGGAAGATGGCATTTCAAGTATACCTTTATCGTGTTAAAAAAAAACAACAACAAGCAACTACTGTAAAACTAGTCTTCTGTATCCTCGAAGTAATCAAAGAAACTGAAGAAGAAAGCTTCAGTGTTTGGATTCAGCAAGGTCCTTCCTGGGTCTGCAGATCACAGTTTTCTCATCTCTCAAGATAATTCTTATCTTAAAGAGATTGCATCCTTAGAGGGAAGGACGAACTGTCTCCCAGGAGGTGAGAACACCTTCTACCATCATTTTGGGGATGCCAGAAATCCTGCAGCTAGAAATATGTTAAATTACTCCCCACCTCTAAACCTGCCAAAATGCATAGATGCCAGGAATGGAGTTTTATTGGTTGACATCAGAGATGGAAGAAGTTTATCAGACTCTCTTTAGAACCCAAGTGCACTGATCAGGTGGAGAGCATGAGAGAGTGAACATTTAAGTGAGGTCAGGGGCTCAAGAGGGGGACTGCTATTTCCCAAAACAAATTCTTCCCTCCTCCTCTTGTCCCATGCCTGCCCTAATTGGAAAACGACCACCAATATCAAGCGAGAATGGGAGTGACTTAGGAGGACAGGATCGCAAAGGGTTGTTGGGGCTGCCCCGATGGCCACGATAAACCTCCTGCCAAGACCCTCTCTTCTTTAACAGATGCTTCAACTCAGCCACAAAGCCTCCACTCTCTCACTTGATGGTGCAAACAGCAAATGGGAACTATCATGGGGTTTCCAAAACATCTTCAAAAACCTCTGTACTGGCTTTTAGTTAAATAGGAAATACACCTAAATATTAAAGACTTTTAAATGTACACATCAGCTTTCTTTAGGGAAACTATCTTCTCATGAGAGTGCCAGATATTTCAAAAGCAAAACCAATTTCATATCCTCATCAATTCTGATGGCTTCCCTTTTCAGGGCGGTTTCTCATCCAGCCATGCGTAAAAGTCTCACCTTGCCCTGCAGCTGGGAAAGGACTGGATGGTAGTGTCAAAATGTGTTTATACTTCTTGTGGAGAAAACTCAGCAGCAGGTAGCCCAACCTTCAATGATCTGAATTTATAAGAGGCAGTGTGTCACTAAGGAAAGGGAACCAAAATGAGACTTGGAAAATTGGATTTTAATCTTGAGTCTGCCATGACTAGGTCTGTTCAACCAAATTAAGGTTACCCCTTAGTTTTCTCATCCATAAAATGGGATATTATTGACTTTAAAGGTTGTGTGTGTGTCTGTGTATGAGTGCATGTGTGGATATCATGTTAGATGCCAAATGTCATTTTAACTGCCTTATTAGAGGAGCCTGAAAACTAATTTTTGCTTTAAAATCTGTCCCATGATCTCTCCTTTCATTTGCATTAGCTTTGTGTCCGTTTCACTGTCTTCTAGTTCTGGTTCAGAGAGCAAGTGTGAGAAGAAAAATGTAGTAAAGCTCAAAGTGAACAATGCCCTCTACTTTTGTGTAGCAGCGGCAGACTGCAAAATGGCCACAGTTCCTCCTTCCCAGGTTCACACCCCTCTGCAATGTGACTTTGCTGTTCCTCCCATCAAGACATAGAGTCCATTTTGCCACCCCTTAAATCTGGAATTGGCTGTGTGACTTGCTTTGACCGCAGGAACGTTATCATGAGTGATGTATGAGCGTGCAGGGGGCTTGCCCTCCCTGCTGCTGGAACCCTCCCACCACCACAAGAACAAGCCCACACAAAGCCTGCCAGGGAATGAGAGGTCATATGGAAAGAGGTCTTCATCTTCCCAGCCACTCCAGCCATTTGAGCTGAGCCCCCAGGATGTAGATGAGCTTGTCCCGGACCATCTACCCTGGCCATGCCAGTCCTGATGAGAGCACCCCGCCAACCCATAGAATCATGAAAAATAGTGTTTATTGGTTTAACCCACTTCATTTTGTGATGATTTCCAATGCATCAAAAACTAACTAATATAACACTTCCAACAAAACTTTTGTTTTACCCCCAAGGCTCTGAGGAAAATGATGAGATGGGGATAATTTGCCTTTGGAGATACTAACCTCCTACTTTAGACCTTGAACTCTTCTGAGCCAATGATCTTACCTTAGTCTGTGTCCCCACCACTGAGCACACAGTGCCAGGAACACAGCAGAGCTCACTAAGAGTAAAAGGAACAGAAGAAAGAGAAAGAGGAGAGTTGGAAGAGAAGAGAGAGAGGGAAAGAGGGAGGAGAAAAAGAGGGATGCATGAAACACACATCAGGAATGAGTCTTGAAATGAAGCAGTGTCTGCAGGACCCTTGGCTTCCTTGCTTGGCTATAGAAGAGTTGACTACAATCTTCAAATGTTAGAGGAGCCATGGCAGATTATCCAAAAGTTACAGCAAGGAATCAGAAATTAAACTGTGTCACCAGATAGAGGTTGACTCTGATCAACTTATTTGTGGCAAATACTTTCAGTCCAGCAGAAGCTCCTCATATAAGAACCTCCTTTTTCCATAATCCTAATGATGGCAATATTAGTCAGAACACCTGCTTGCCCCTTTCTTGGAAATATTTTTCTTCATCTCAGATATGCCACCTTAGAATAAAATCTTCTCTCAGATTCTTAACATTTCTCCAACTAAAGTCATGTCAGAATGGAAAAAAAAGTGGGGAAAAGGGAAACAAAACCCACTCCCAAAGCCCCAGGAAGCCCCATGGTTTAAAAAGCCCTACCACCCAACTCACACGTCCGTGAACTTCCTGTGAGGATTTGTCACCACCATGGGCAAGCCATTGGCAAATGGGGGCTCACGGAGAACCTGGTACCTCACAGGCCTGCAGCCAGAGCACAAGGGACTGTGGGGCTGGGAAGTCAGCAGAGCTGCATCAATTTCCATCCGCTCATCAAAGGTGTAGACTTTCACCCCTGAGACCTTCCCATCGACATGCAGTTTGATAGTGAGTGGGGTGTCACAGAAAGTGTCTAAGGGGCCCAGGTGCACAGAATCCTGGTGTTCCAGCAAGATCTCCGTGTCAAAGAGTGCCTGGGAGGAGTCCATGGAGAGGTAGGTGACCCATAGGGTAAGGGTGTCAGCTTGGACCGGGTGCTGGAAGAGCAGCTCCAGGCTACAGCCTTCTGCAGGGCAGGGGACCGTCATGTTCATATGGTACAGGTGGAGCTCAGGACTCCAGGCCTGCAAGCTCGGCTCACAAGGCTGGTCCACGTCTGGAGGCCCTGAGGGAGATGAACAGAAAGACAGACTCATTAGGAACTGCCATTAAGTCTGAAAATGAGTAGCTCATATGAGCAACCAGAAAGAAGAATGAGGAAGAGAGCTTTGAGCTAATGCCTACAGAAGTTGGTCAACTGAATGGATTAGATCTTGAGTACTACGGAGGACAAAGGTGTAACAATGTAAAAGTATTCTGTCTTGCTCCATAGCCCCTCCACATGATGCCTTTAACAAGAGAAGTCTAGCAAGGCATCGGGAATGGAGTGGCCCAGATCCCAGGTGGAAACATGAGGCTGATGCAGAGAAGGTGAGTCATGTCCTTCAAGAGTCCTTGAGCAGAGCAGAATTATTTGTACTTAGTTTATTAATAATTTATGATAAACCACTGCTTCTGAAACCCTTCTTTACTTATGAATAAGGCCAATGTTTGTTTTAGCGTGTCATTACATCCTGTTTAACTAGTTCAGGTATGTGTGAGCAGTTAGGTCACTGCATGGAAGAAACTGCAGACAAGAAATAGAAACATGTATTCTTGACTGGAAAAAAAAATGGAGATCCCAAGTAGCTAAGTAAAATGAGATGATAAAAAGTCAAATATTGCAACTATATTAAGGTCAGTTCTGTGAAAATCATCTATCAAAAGGTTTTTCTTTATTATCACATAAGGGGAAATTAAGAAAAAAGTGCTAAATTAGGAATCAGCAGAGTTACACTCTAATTGGTGCTGTGCTATTAGCTGTGCGACTGTGGCAAGTCTTTATAAAGCCTCAATTTCCTCATTTATGAAATAAGCATTATTTAACCTGTGGTTTACTAGGATAGTGTAGAAGATCTATACAACGTTCCCTAGAAACATAAATAGAATTATTTAGCCCTTCAGAATTTGGAAAATAAAGAATATTTCAAAGCCCAGAGGAAACAAGTTCAAACGTGTGTGTGTGTGTATTACATCTCAAAGCCTTTATCATCTTTTGCCTGTACTGTGAATCCATTCATTCATTTATTCATCCATTCAACAAAACTTGACTGTGTATCTCTTTCACATCTAGCACTGATGTAGGTATTGGATACAGAGTAGCAAACAAGAAAGATAAAGGTCCTGCCCTCATAATCCTTAGGGTAGGGTGATAAGTACAAAACTAAATTGATAAAGTGGTAATGGCATCTTTGAAGAAAAATAAAGAAGGGTAAAAGACTAGAGAATGAAGGGGTAGGACTAGGGTCTCTTTTAGATTATAGAGTCAGGGAAGTTCTCTCCAGAAAGATGATATTTAAGCAGGGAATGTGTCTGGTTCAATTTCCTATTCCGCATAGCATTTTAGAAAGTGGTTGGTGTTCATTAAGTGTTGTTAAGTATATTTAGATCATATCTGTAGCTATATGTGTTCGTGCACACTCTGCTGGGGATTCACTCACCTTCGATGTGTATATTTTAAATATGACTTCGTTCTCCATCTTTTCAAAGCAAAGGAAGACCAGTATTTCTTAGCAGTATGTTCCAATAGCCATCCCCAAATATAGCAGAGTAAAAGCCCTTGGAAGCCACCCCAACAGCACTGTTGTCTCAGAAAGATTTTATTATGATCTCACATTAAGACATGAAGCGGAGGCCTTGAAAGTTGACCTGGTTTGCCTCAAAACACAATTAGAACCCAGAACTTCTAATTCCTTTAACCTCTACAACATAACTTTAAATTTTGCCAAGAATTAAAAAGAGAGAAATGCAGGGCCAGGGAGTTGAATGGGCATTAGAACACTAGCACAGGACAATTTGTTTGCCACAGAGATGGCCTTTTATGAAAAGCCAATCTCTACATGAGTCCAACACAATACCAATGTGAATTTTATAGTCACTTTCCATTCTTCCTTGAAAACTCTCATTTGAAAAAAGTTCCATATGGTCAATCAAAATCAAGTATATTGTCTCCCTCCTAATTTCTCCTGGAGGCTCCTGTCATTTGAGTAACTGGGAGCTCAAGGGGACATTTTACAGACACTGTTGACTCTAAAACCAATGTCCTCCTTTTTTTTTTTTTTTTTTGGTCAGAGTCAAGATGGCAAACTAACTCAAATAGGACTGTGTCCAACTCATCTTACTAAGTAGTTTTTAGGATCTTAATAAATACAAAAGAAGGAAAAAGATGATAACTAGGTAAACATTGAAGATGGTGGTCATAGAAGATGCCAAGCCATTCAACAGAAGGTGCTGAAACTTGTCAACGCCATTTTCCGGACTTGAACTGGGATAACATTCATGCTTTAATTTGTCCTAGAGGCCTTGATATTCATATGTGAGTGAATATTAACTGAGAAGTAGGGCGAGGAACAGGAAAAGGGACAGCTAAAAACATTTTCCCCCTCCTAGAGCCTAACTAAGATCACATCCAAAGCACAACGAGTACCAGTGATTAATAGACTCATAAAATAACATAGATGAGAACAATCAGTTTGGAACACCTAGTCCACCCCACCCCCACCCAGACCAGCTTGGGCCGTGCATCGATGTTTCCTGCAATGTGTTCTCTATTACTCTCCTGATAGAGATCAGCTTACACTGTTACGTGGCAAGGCTGCTCCATGGGCCAGTAGGTGTGCATAACACAGAACGCCTGAGCTCTCACCCTGAAGTCACCCCCTGAGCTCAGCTGTCTTCTCCATCGCTCTGTCCTCTATGCTGACCTCTGCTTCACCACAGCCATTGGGCCTCCATGCTAAGCACATGTGGGACACAGGCCCCCAGAGATATCCAGCAAATCATGCGCGTGCATGCGCACGTGTGCGCATGCACGCGCGCGTGCGCACACACACACTACCTTTTTCTCACCACACCACCATTCGACTCTGTACCCCCACCCCCATTCTCAGCAGCCACAAAGTATAAACAAAAAAGCTATGGTCCTTTACCCACAGCCTCCTCTGGAGTCCAGTAACCTGAGGAGTCACACACACGCCGGGAGGAAGCTGTGTGCACGTACTGACGGAATGTCCCATCTTCAGTGCAGGCACCACACACACTGCCTGGGACCCTGTAAAGATGAAGGGGGAAGGGAGGTGAGGAGAAGTGGTAGGATGAACTGGGATCATGAAATTCGGAAAGCCTCTGGGGGTGGGGAGTGGTGACAGGTAGTGAGGTCCTGGGGGTACCTGGGAACACAACCATTTCTCAACTCATTTCCTTCTTGTGTAGACCTCATCTTTTAAAAATTCACAGTGACATGAAAATCTCAAGGTTATGAAGCAGAAGAATTTAACTAAGTCATAAAGGAGGCCTGTGGAGATGAAAGTGGGCAGCTTCTATCCTAGGAACATTCAACACAAAATAATTATAATCTAAATCTTTCAACACAAAACTCCTTACTAGGCTGACTTTCAATAAGTCATCCAAAGGCCCCTTACATTCCCCCAACTAAAACAGACAGCAGTTTGCAGAGTAAAGTTATTAGCTATATGTGGTCTTATGTTTTAAACTCCCTACTTTAAATCACATATATAAAATAAAAGTCATATGAAATGTGATGTCCCTTGGCTCTGCATCACCTATGGCAAATACATCCAAATTTCTTACCATGATCCAAGGTTCTTCACTAGCTAACTCCAGCCTTACTCACTTGAGCTCCTCTATGAACTTATGTTCCAAGCACAATGAACAAATCACCATTCTTCAAATACATCTTACCCTTCTCACAGTTCTGTGAAACATGCTCTTTTCTCTTCTGACAAATAGCCTTTTCAAACCTCTCTGCTTAGCAAACTCCTACTCATCCTTCAAAGCCCATTCAAATGTAACCTTTGCAATGGCACTTAGCTTTACTCCTCTGCATGGCGGGCACTCTCTCCTCTAGGCACCCACCACAGCTTCTGGCTCCTGTCTTCAGCCATTGCTCTGTGATGTTGAAAATCCCACTCCCATTCTCTCCTTTGCCTGTGAGCAGTCCAGACCAAGCTCTGTTCTTTCTGTGCCCAGCAGTTAGTACAGGGACTGGCCTCAGCAGTCCCTCTGTGAGAGCTTGTTTTATGGGCATCCCTGAGACTATTAGTACAGTTTACAAAGAGCCCTTTAACTGCTAAATAACAAGAGGAGATGAGGCTCTTCTCTGATATTTAGATGAGGCTCCTCTCTGATACTTGATGAGGCTCCTTTCTGATACTTAGAATCTTTTTAGAAGCCCAACTGTGAATGATGCATCTGAAAATGAAGACATCAAGTCAAGGTCTCCCACAGGTAGGGACAGAAAATGAATATCTTGTAATATACCAGAAAAATAATATAACTATTAAATAGAGGTAATAATTATGTTACCAGCTCCCTCTTTTTCCCAGCTCCCATTTCTAAGCACTTTATATGCCGGTCATTGTGCCACTAGGTGCTTTCATAAATCATTTCTAATCCCTACAAGAACTCTGTGTTTATAAATGAGGACACTCAGGCTCAGAGAGATTAAGTCAATTGCCTAAGGTCACAGCAAGTTCCTTAATTCCTTTGAGCAAGTTCCCCCAAACCATCAAGTGTCCAGCACTTTGGCAATGAAAAGGTGCAGTTAACTGCAACCTCTGACTCTGGTCAGCACCCACTTCTAGTGTGGACACAACTCCAAACCACATTTCCTTGATGTACTTGGCCTCTCCGGGGCCGCTGCTGAGTGCGTGGTTGGGCTCCTCTCTGACATAAGAATCCCAAATACCTACTGGGGAGGAGTAAACATAACTCCAAGCATGACACAAATCGCTGGGTATGTGACGTGAGTCTCCCCGACACACATGTTGGGAGGCCTCCACACTGTGGCCCACCTAGCTGAGGAAAGGAAGCAAATTACAGCCTTTTCTGCCAACAGACTCACAGCCTGCCAGTACTGATGTCTGCTTTATCGTGACGTTTGTACCAGAGGGAGAATTGAAAGATTAAATTGTTTACATGTGTTACATAAACTGATATAAAACTCCAGGCTGCACATGCCCATGGAGGACTTAACTGTTCAGCCAGTAAGACCAAAGCTGCACAGGGTCACCCTTGCAGGAAGAAGATTCTTAAACACATCACATTTGTTGACTCGCAGATGGAGCCCACGAAAGCTGGGGTGCTGACGACAGTCAGAACTGCTTTGTAGGATTGTTAAGTTCCAAGTGACGTCATGCATTAAGCATACATCAAGGTATCAAGGACAGGTATCAAGATCCAGAAGGCTGGGAACACCACTTTGAAAAAGGATTCACTTGCTTCCTCCCATCCCTGTCTCTCCCTGTCTTCTCTGCCAGGCTTTCAGGAAAGACGGAGTACATGGAAACATGCTCCAGGGACATCCAGCGCCGTGGCCGGGGCCTGATACCCAGTGGGGAAGTGTGACACCTAGAAGGGGGGCTATCTGCCTGCTAAGTGGGAAAGCTCTAAGTTCAAAGAAATAATCTATGCCAGGTTTCCTGTTTCTGAAATTCCAGTGGATGCCCCACATTCGCCTCTCTTCAGTTGTGGGGTCTTGAGCTAGCCACCGTGCACTTCTCTGTGCCTTGGATTTCTCACTCATAGGGCAGTTGTGTTTATCTCAAGGACTGAATAAGACACCTGCAGGTAAAATACCCAGCACAATGCTTCACACAAAGATGGACCAAAAAGACAAGAGCTACTGTTGTTCTTTAAAATATGGTGGCAGGAAAAAAATTAATTAATTAAAATAAAAATAAAATACAGTGGCAGAGCTTGAAAGTAGAGAGCCTGCACAGGCCACCTAGATGGAGTTCTGGCCCTGCTTGGGAAAACCACGTTCCCCCATCCTCCCACCAACTGTCAGATGTGCTGCTTTTCCTACCTTCTCCCCTTTTTACAGAACTTTCCCTGGTATCCATGTATCCCAATATGCAAAGGATGAATAAAAGCTAATTTTAGATATAATGACTCTCTTTAAAAAACATGTATCAGGGGCGCCTGGGTGGCTCAGCTGGTTAAGCGACTGCCTTCGGCTCAGGTCATGATCCTGGAGTCCCTGGATCGAGTCCCGCATCGGGCTCCCTGCTCAGCGGGGGGTCTGCTTCTCCCTCTGACCCTCCTCCCTCTCATGCTCTCTGTCTCTCATTCTCTCTGTCTCAAATAAATAAATAATTAAAAAAATCTTTAAAAAAAAAAAACATGTATCAGGTGTCCATTGTGGCAGGCCAAGAGACAAAGACGCAAAGAATAGTCCTTCCCCAGGGAGCTGCGGTTGAGGGGGGCAAACAGGAAAATACACAGATAACAATTCCACAAGGCAGCAGCCCTAAGTGGGACAGGCACCAGGTCCAACAGGAAGCAGAGAAGGCATTAGAAACACCACACGAGCCAGTGAAGGCCCTGTGCCCAGCTTATAGCGGAGGGTAGCCTGCCACCCCCCGCCCCCCAGAACTGCCTGAAGGAACGCACCTCCCCTCCTTCCCCCCAACTCCGCTGTGCAAGCAGCAAGCCTCTGCACCACCCTCGCACCAGGGGGCAATGGCTGACCTGGACAGGTAGCAAAGGGCACCTCAGCTTTGTCAGTCCACCTCTTCATGGCTCCTGGAAGCCTGCCAGCTATGACATTCTGAAGGAAGCACGTGCCAGGCCCCTCGCCAAGGAGTGAGCACACATGGTGAGCCACTGGTTTACCTGAGAGCCCCGTGAGCTCTGCTAAGGAGATGAGGACGGGGCAGGATGGAGGGGCAGCCCTGAGCAGCGGTGCACATGTTTATTGGTCCAAGCCGGGTCTCCCCTCACTTCACGTTCTTCCCCTTGTGCATAAAAAATGCCACAGAGAAGACAGAGCATGGCAAGTGCCTCTCACCTGTCATACACAACCCCACTAATTGGAGGAAGCCAGTGGATGGTGAGGGATGTGTGGGTCTGCCCAATGACCATGGGTGGAAGGGGAATGGGGGTGGGCTTCCGATTTTGACTCCACTGCTGATACACAAGATCCAAATAGCAATGCATCCGGGCCACTTGGTTAGGGGTGAAGCTGTTGGTGCAGTCATCATCTGTGGAGACAAAAAAAGGAACAGGAGAGATAAAGGTCTTAACCTGCAAAGACCACCAAGGCGGGGATGAAGTCCGCCTTGCTCATGCCCTAAGTCACTAGCACCCGACACAATGCCTCACACTTACTGGGTTCCGTAAAGACTTGTCAAATGACTAAATGTATTCTGTTCCAGAGAGTATCTAAGCTGCAAGTGGGAAAGAGAAGGCAGAGAATAGCGCTTGCTTATCCCTAAAGCAGGACCATTACCCTACTGTTGGGCCAAGCCAGGGTGAGACTCATGCCCTGGGGTGGAAGATTGCTCCTAGCTGATGGTTACTTATTCAGGAAACCACAAGATGGCAGTGTTTAAGCATATGGCCTTTTTATTCATGAACGTTTCTGGAGTTGCAGACACCTGCTTTATGCCCAGTGACTCTACCAAGGTTAGGGAGAATTCAGTGGAGATGCTCAAAGAAAGAGCAAACCAAAACATCAAGGATGCAGTAGGACTGGGAATGGAGGTCCCAACCTTATTTTTGGAGCCTGCAACATCTCCCTGTTAGATACAATTTTCATAGGGCTGGAAAAGGAGTTATCTTAGTTTCAGAGCCTTTTTTAATGAGAGCACACCAGTCAAACACTGCCCCCTGTTTCTTAGATGTTTTCTCTGCCCACTTCAAAGGTGGTAACTAAACAGCTCTGCCTCCTGCACCCCACTGTCTGGTCTCCCCTGGCAAGGGCCACTGTGTCCTTGCTGAGGGAGGCAGGGATGCTGGTCCTTATGAATTCAATGCACCTGAATTATATACCAAAATGAGACTTGGATTGAAATATATCGATAAGTCACAAGCAGGACCAGCTTACCACTCTTTTCTTTCCTTCAAAGGCATGACCAAGGTCTTGTGATTTATCTTTTTTTTTTTTTTCTGGATAGTCCTAGAATTTATCACCAAACAAGCCCCTGGACCTTACAAAAAAATCATCTCCTTCCTTCTCCCTAGAATAAATCATCAGATCAAATCAGTCCTTACTTTTAGGGATAAATTTGAGTCCGTTATCAAGAGACTATGATTAGTACTACTTTTTGCCAGAAATGAGGAAGATAAAAGAGGACAGGAAGAGACATAATCCAGGATACCGAGACCAAATAATAGGGTTGTTCCCAGGACCAGGAGAGCAGTACCATTTTTTAAATGAGACAGTATTTTTTTAAACTATCCAAGATAAAAGAGTATTCTTTTTTTGACATCTAGCAGAGGAGAATCCAGTCCACAAGACCCCTTTATGTCATATTTCTTTAAGTTCTTCAAAGACATGAGAAAAAAGAACATGTCATGATAGATACACTTCAGCTCTCTGGCATGAATGACCACTTCACGGGCCTCTCCACCTCCCACCCCTCCACAGCCAAGTGGAGTCAAAGTTGGAAGCCCACCCCCACGCCCCTCCACACCCCACCCCAGCCACAAAGGGCTCCCATGTAATCTTAATAGAAAATAGTCACATTGAGACTGTTGTGGTACCTGTATAGCTCATGTAGTTGCTGAATGGAGCCCCCGGGAAGTGGGTGAAGCCACAGGTGTCATTGGTAGGCTCTGGGTCCTGGCACAGCTTACTCTTGGGAGTAGGGGCAGTGTCGGCACAGAGGTCTCCTGTATCCATGGATGGCACTGTCTCCCTACAGGGGTCATCACAGGATTCCCTCTCACTGACCCCTTTGAAGACATGGTAGAGTCCCAGGACATGCCCCACCTCATGGATCATAATGTTGGTATGGCCAGACATGCCATAATAGGCTGGGTTGAGGACAACACCACCTGCAATGGAAGGTTTGGAAAACATCTCTAAGCATGTAATGAATAGCAGCCCACTGATCCTTAATTATGCCTTCTGGTAAACATCGTGTTCAATTTCAACCTCTAAGGGAACACTTTATAACTTCTAGTGGCATTCAGTCCCTGCTCTTCCCTTTGGTAAGAAACACTCTCTAAACTAATCAATAAACACGTCTTTAACCCCTAACATAGATGAGTGCTGTACTAGAAGTCAGGGATAGCAATAAAGACAACATGACATGATAGAGGGCCAGGATTCTCAGGGCTGGCTGCGCATTAACATCACCTAGTGGAGTTAAAAAACACAGATGTCCTAAAGACCTAAATGTGAGTCCTAAAACTATAAAAATCCTAGAAGGGAGCACAGGCAGTAATATCTCTGACATTGGCTGTAGCAATATTTTTCTAGCTATATCTCCTGAGGCAAGGGAAATAAAAGCAAAAATAAACAATTGAGACTGCATCAAAATAAAAAGCTTCTGCACAGTGAAGGAAACAATCAATAAAACTAAAAAGCAACCCACTGAATGGGAGAATATTTGCAAATGACATATCTGATAAAGAGCTAATATCCAAAGTATATGAAGAAGTTATACAACTCAACATCCAAAAAACAAATAATCCTATTTAAAAATGGGCAGAAGAAATGAACAGACATTCATCAAAGAAGACATCCAGATGACCAACAGACATATGAAAAGATTCAACATCACTCATCATCAGGGAAATGCAGATCAAAACTACAATGAGGTATCATCTCACACCTGTTAGAACAGCTAAAATCAAAAACACAAGAAACAGTAAGTACTGAGGAGGATGTGGAGAAATGGGAACGCTCTTGCACTGTTGGTGGGAATGCAAACTGGTGCAGCCGCTCTGGAGAATAGTATGGAGGTGCCTCAAAAAGTTAAAAACAGAACTACTCTACTGTCCAATAATCACACCACTGGGTATTTACTCCCAACATACAAAAATACTAACTCAAAGGGCTACATACACCCCGATGTCTATAGCAACATTATCTACCATAGCCAAATTATGGAAGCAGCCCAAGTGTCCATTGATGGATGAATGGATAAAGAAGAGATAGTATGTATATATATTCCATTGTGTATACACACACACACACACACACACAGTGGAAGAGTATGTGTGTGTATACACACACACACACACATATACACTGGAATATTATTTAGTCATTAAAAATAATGAAATCTTGCCATTTGCAATGACATAAATGGAGCTAGAGAGTATAATGCTAAGGGAAATAAGTCAGTCAGAGAAAGGCAAATACCATATGATTTCACTCATATGTGGAACTTAAGAAACAAAACAATTGAGAAAAGGACAAAAAAGGGATAGAGACATAAGCCAAGAAACAGACTCTTAACTACAGAGAACAAATTGATGGTTACCAGAGGAGAGGTAGGTGGGGGGATGAGCAAAATATGTGATGGGGATTAAGGAGTACCCTTGTTGTGATGAACACTAGGTAATGTATGGAATTGTTGAATCACTATATTGTACACCTGAAATTAATATAACACTGTATGTTAACTATACTGGAATTAAAATAAAAGAAAAAAATTAAAAATCTATTACACTGTTGGTAGAAATATAAATTGGTACAATTATGGAAAAGAGAATGGATGTTCCCCAAGCTATGCTTTTTAATTATAATTAATTCATTTCAAAAAAATAAACTTATATGTAGAAGCAGAAACAAATAAACAAACAAAAAACCCCACAGATGTCCAAATGCTAGCCCAAATGAAATGAATCCAAATATTCAAGGATGAGGATATATGCCTCAGTATTTTTTTAAAGATTTTATTTATTTATTGACAGAGAGAGAGAGTACAAGCAGGGGGAGCAGCAAGGAGAGGAAGAAGCAGGCTCCCGCTGAGCAGAAAGCCTAATGTGGGGCTCAATCTCAGGACCCCGGGATCATGACCTGAGCTGAAGGCAGATGCTTAACCAACTAGTTATGCAGGCGCCCTACCTCAGTATTTTTTGAAACTTCTCCAGTAGAGATCCATTGGTCTCGGTGAACGCATATGGGGTTTAGAGCCAGGGAAGTCTGGGTCTGAATCCTGACCCTCCACATACCAGCTCTGAGTTCTTGAACAGCTATTTGACCTTCTAGAACCTCAGTTTCGTTGTCTGTAAAGCGAAGATGATGACACCTACTTCTTTGTTTTTGTGGGTTTGGGCTTTCTAAAGCATCTGGCACACCATAGGAGTTTAGTAAATGACAGTTATGTGCACTGCTTTTGATTTCATGACCCCTACTCACAAGAAGCCAACAACCATTAAGACAAAATACAAGTCCAACTTAACGACCATGCAATTCAGAATGTCAGAGGCATTGCAGGAATATGTCCTACCCTCACCTCTCCAAAATCTCCCTGAGAACACCAGGGGAGGTGTTTCAGAGAAGAGTTCATTGGATCCAATCTTAGCTTGGATGAAAGTAGTGGTATCATTGTAAATTTACAAAAGGAAAGGCTAAAGAATTCTAAGTGCCCCAACTTCTATGTGTCCAGCTTCCCAATCCCAGCTTTCCAATCCCAGATTCCAAACCCCTGCTTCCTTCCTCTCCCCATGTTTGAAACCACTTGACCTTCCTTCTTCATCTCCAAAAATTGTCAGGATCAGGCCTCATCCTCATCTCTAAGTCCTGAAACAGGTCATATCAATAGCTGTTTGGACCAATGGTCCAAATGGACGAACAAATGGACCAACCCTCTGGTTGTGTTTCCAGGCTGCACCTGCCCCTCTGTCCCAGATCTGATCCCAATTCCCAAGACTTGCTTCATTCATCCTACCTGAGCCCTCCCTATATCAATAGTCTAGTGAGTACAGCAGTCCCCCCAAAAGAATAGCCCTGCCTCTCATTCGCAAGATCATATTCCAGGGACTATGTCTCATTCCTGAATTCTATGTGATGCCCTACACACAGCTACATAAATGGTTTTATGGGCAGAACAGAATCACAGGGTATCTGGTGCCACATCCACTGGTTTCTGCAATAAGTGACTCAATCTGCCCATTTAGTGACTACCTTACTGCAAATGGCAGTTTCTAAATTCAAGTTCTAGGTTCTTCCCTTCTACTCAGACATGCTGACATTAACCAAGGCATGCTAAGACCATCCTGAAATATACTGTCTACTCTCACATCGAAAACAGAGCTAAACCTTATCTCCCTTGTGTATCATTTCTATCACTTCCAGTAAAAGTTCTTATTCTCCAACATTAACCTTTTTTCCTTTTATAAAATTATTTTCTGTATATTTCTTTCATTTGTGCATCATTATGTCAACATAAAGTTAAAGTAATTTGAAAACAGATCTATTGCAGTAACAACCAGAATGCCCCGTATTTGAATAAAGCCAGCAAAATACAGTATTTCCACATTTCAAGATGGATATATTTTTTATTCCAGAATATTCCAGATCATGTTTACATCAATTGCAGTAGTATTCATCATCAAAGTTCATGCACCATTATGCTCTCAGCTCTCCTTCATTCACATCAACAAAGGTGCTCTAATAGCACAGTGTTGTTTGTAATGCCTTCACTCCCTTATAGCTTCCTCCACCTACATACACGTCTTTCCTTCTTCCTTTCCCTTCCCCCACCTCTAAGCAAGGTTTGGAATCAAAAAACCAATCTGACAGAAACAGGTCTTTGAAAGGCTACAATTCATCTATAAAGTTGAAGTATCCACATGGAGTAGTTAGTTCTTCCTAAATTGAGTAGTATCCCATGGTTAAGTAGGCTTGAGAAAAATGCAGCATGCCACACCCACCTCCTGCAGATTTACACTGTGCCTGAAAATTTGTTCTGCTGAAGGCCCTGAAAAGCCCTGTAGCAATTGTTTAACCTTCTGCTTCCCAAACTCATTTGAACACAGAATCTGTTTGAGGTAGAATACCTTTTGACATAAGGAATACTAGATTCCTTAGAACACAATTCATGGAATGCTACCAAAGACAAAGAAAACTCCCAATCAATAGTTACTTTCTACCCATACATATGGTCAGTACAACCCCAAGACCTCTTGGGATCTTCTCCAGTGATAGGAGAAAGGGGTTATGGGGGTGCCTGGGTGGCTGAGTTGGTTAAGCATCTGCCTTTGGCTCTGGGTCATGATCTCATGGTACTGGGATGGAGTCCCTCGTCAGTTGGGCGCCCTGCTCAGTGGGGAGCCTGCTTCTCCCTCTCCTTCTGCTGCTCCCCCTGCCTGTGCTCTCTCTCTGGCTCTCTCTCTCTCTCAAATAAATAAATAAAAATTTTTAATTAAAAAGAAGAAGAAGAAGAAAGGGGTTATAGCTGAACAGAAATAAGATTCTGGGAGGAAGGGATGGCAAAAAATAGGAAGGAGGGATGACTGGGAGTGTAGTCAGAGAAGGATATGAGGGTGGTCATTATCATAGTGGGTGTCTCATCAACCTCCAGAAGTTTTTGCCTCAACCCCAAATGAGATATTTCCAAATCTAGAATATTCTCTTTTCAATAAACCAGCTTATTTATAAGGAGAGGAAGAAGCATAAAAATGCAAATCCTCAACACACCCAGCAAATCTCCTCCACACCAATGACAGGAGGCCAGGGTTTTCCTCCATAGCACTCTTAATGCACATTCCCCAAACAGGAGAATATAGATTTAACACACAGCACTTAAATTTTAATTAAAAACATAAACCTTTTAACACACTTACTGTTGTATTTTTTATTCCAGAAAGATGGGACTTTTGCCCCTAAATTATCGTATGGAACAGAGTAGTGAGCTTAGTTGCTATGTGTGTGTTAGATAGAATATTGTATATTCTAATTTAGAAGTAAGTGCTCTGTATACCAATACATGTTGAGGAAAAAGCCCAAGGTCCTCTTACAGTAATTCTGCTCAATAGCGCCAAGTGATTATGGAATCACACTGGACCAGAACTTAAGGAACTTGGAATGTGGTCCTGAC